ATATCGATTTAAATCGATATGTTTTGGAATGTTAAAAATTTTATGTAACTCACGATGTATATAACCACCAAGACTATCTTCTTCACGATGTTTAGCATCAATAATTAATTGATTAAGTGAATAACGTGGTATAATTGTAAAGTCATTTTCTTGATATTCATCTGTTCTAAGTTGAATTATATATTTATTACCTTCATCACTAATTTGTTGATCATATGGATGTGATATTATTGTACCAGCACCTAAATATGATGAATACCGTAATGGTGATAATGTTGACATATTATTTAATTGATAAATATCGGCTTTACGTTGAATATCAGTTACTGAACCGGCTGTTGATATAGTAGACGATTGATCGACTATATTGTCTGATGGTAAAAGTAATGGTTTGTTATTATTGTTGTTATCAGATAATAATGTATCAAAAATTTTATTGCTTGCTGTTGGACTATGTAATGTAGGAGGAGGAATAATGGGTGTTGATGTAAAAAGGTAAGATTGATTATCGTTGTTATTATTTTCTATAGTAACATCAGTTAAAGAATATGTTGATGAAAATGAACTATTTTCTTCTGGTACGTCACTTAAATCAAAGTTTTGATTGTTAATTGGTATAGAATTTGTTAATGATCGTTTTTGTTGTAGTTGTTCTTTCTGTGGTTCTTCAAAATTTTCTAATGCTGTAAGTTGATTGTTTTCTTGCTCACTATTTAATAATGGTTGCCAGTATGAATATTCTTCGTACTGACGAGAAGGATCGTCAAAATTTTGCTGTTCTTTGATGAAAGAAGAAGAAGGAGAAGAATGGTCGTAGATAGATAAAGGCGTATCGTTGTGAATAGTTGGAAAAAGGAAAAGTGAGGGAGATGACGATAACGGCAAAAACTCTTTTGCTTTCTGGTTCTCTTCCAGATGCAATTGTCGTTCGTCTTGTGGAAGCGTCGATGAGAAATACTTCACTAGATGCCGATCTTCCTCTTGCGTTTGTAAACCGTCCGCTGTTGTTGCATTTGATAAATTATTTTTCTCCTCAGATTCAACTGGTATGGTCGACTCGGATGAAGAATTCGTTGAGAAACAATAATCGTTCGATAATGATGACGGATTTAAATTATTGTTGAAATAATCCCGATTACGACGTGAACCAATAAAAGGTCGTGATATGGACGATGACTGTAAAAAGTATTAAAAAAAAAAAGAAGCAAAGACTTTGATTGACTCTATTCAAATCGTTGATTACAAATTTGCGCTTGATCTCATTTGTAAGCACATAGACATACATATACGCACCATTAATGAAACAGAGTGGGAAAAAAGAAAGAAAAGAAGGCTGAGTAAATATAAGTCATTTGAAGGCCAATGAACTACTGTTACACAGAGTTCAATATACAGACTTTAAGTGATTAGTATCTTCTCTCTTGATGATATATAGTCTTATAAAAGAAAAAACTTATCATTGAAAATGGTCGATTTTCATTTTGTTAATGTCAAAAAAAAGAAAGAAGACAAGCGCAAATCGCATGAGAAATTCCAGTTTGCTATCAACAGATATGTAAATACTCTATTGATAGTAACCTTATTGGCATGCATGGCACCATTATATTTCTGCGATTCAATTATTCTTTTTCTACAGATTCTTATTTTCTTTCTTACTCTGTTTTATACACAGTATCATTTTACTTTTGTTATATATATATATATATTTAATGAAAAAAGATTTTTATTCATATTTATTTCATTCCTAACGATTCTTCATATTAATTATAACATGTCACAGATATATAATATAGAAGATTATTTAGATTTTCGTTTACCTTGGCTGTAAATGTAGACATCGGATTTGTTGTTGTTATTGTGGCCGTTGTGTTTCAAAAGCGGTATGTATGCAAACAAATATTTCAAGTGAACCTTCACTGATGATTTAAACACTGAATGTCGTTAAAAGATCGAATGAAAAAACAAAGCAATGTGAATATGTCTGTACATATATATATCTCTTCTTTTCGTTTTTTTTTCTTCTTGACAAATAATTACCTTATTTGCCTCTTTCTCTGTCTCTCTCGTTTTTTTTCTCTTCTACTCATATTACAAAACTGCCGAGATGAGAAAAAAAATTAAATCCTTCTATGGTTCATGGTTTGTTTTGTTTATTAAAAATAAAATTTACATGTAGACCAGATCACTTTCTTTAGTTTTTTTCATTAAGAAAAAATGTTGTCTGTCGGCAAATAATTCTTTCACGTAATTTTTCTTGCCAATCTTGTTCTGTATAATATTGTGCCCATACAGGTATACTTGATTCAGGCAATTTTATTGAAGACATTAAATTTTTAATATAATTAGCTTTATCATCATCAACAGGAAATGGTTCACTTTCTAATTTCGTTGACCAAATAGATTCATTTGTATATATTGTTGAATTTATTGTTTGAAAATTTTTATTTTCATCAATTGATGATTGTAATCGAAGTGTAGCAAAACGAAGAAATTCTTCATCTTCATCTTCACTATCATCATAGTTTTGTTGTTGTTGTTGTTGTTGTTGTTGATTTATATCGGATTCTTGTGGTAAAAGACAATAACCATTGAAATGTTCATATTGATTATTTGTATTGTTATTATCATCATCAGAATTTGTTGTTGATTCATCAGAAGCAATATATTCATGTTGTGTATGATTTTGTGGATGAGATAATTCATCATTTGATGAATTTTCATTAGCTGGTAGTTTTTTTTCTTCGGGAGATTTGGGCGATGGTGACATCATAAATATAAATCTTAAAAGAGAAGAAATGAATTTAAAAAAAAATTTTACAGTTTGATCATCTCGATTAGTATTATGTTTACATTTATTTTTATTTCCTCGATAGACAAATAAATAGAAAAAATAAAACAGCTTTTTTTTCACGATTCGAAATTAAATAATTGACAAAAAAAAAAGATGAAAAAGAAAAGAATGAAACGCATTTTCTTAATATAATACACACACACACTGGAGATCAAGTTTGTAAGCATTTGATTTGTCTTATTTTTCTTGAAGTGATAATTGAAGGATCTAAATTTACAATATTTATAATTAAGAATAAACATAGAAGAAAATTTTAAATAATATATAAGTCAATATGAATGAGTTCTTATTTTATTTCTCTAGTTTCTCTTTTTTTATATTTCTTAATTATTCTTTTTTTAGTCAATCATTTACATATAGTATTCATTTAGTAAACAACTTATATTTTTACGTTTGCAGAATGTTATGTATCTACTGGCAGTTTTTTTTTTATCATAAACAATTAACATTCGAGAGTAGCTTTTAAGTTTCAGAAGTATTCTTTTTGTTATTTCTATTTTAAAAAATCCATCGAATAATGAAAACAAAAAAGCATTCTAGTAATAAAAATCTATTTTTAGTAGATATACATTAGGAAATTATTTTGAATTTATAAAATAAATCTTAGTCTATTTATTAAAAATAAAATATACTTTTTCAAGTTCTTCTTCTTCTTCACGTAATCGATGAAGTCGAGCTTCTTCATCACGTTTCGATAATGCCATAGCTACAGATAAATCTTGTGATGAATCGTCACCTTCTAATTGTTCTTGAGTTTGTTGTCTAATTTCATTCATTTCTGCTTCGCTTAAACCTGATGTCAATAAACTTGCTTCCAAAGCGCTATGCGAAGAAAAAAAACCAAAAATAAAATTTCTATATTATTATAAATTCAATCTTTTACCGTTGTAAATCATAATCTACATAACGATTATTAATATCCGGTCGATTTGCTTGTGCACCCGGATGACCTAAAGCTTCATATAATGTAACTTGATCTGATGAATTCTGTCCATCAGTAGTTGGATTAGTTTCATTTGGATCAAGAAGACTTCTTTCAATAGCCATTTGTAATAGAGCATCATCATCCATATACATCATTGGATGATAACCTTCACCTTCACCTAAGAAAGACGATAAGAAATAGAAATATGTTTCATTAATATGTCTGGTATTTTTCAAAGACAAACCTTGACGACGATATCCTGCTGGTATAGCAAAGATATTTTCATCGACAGCACAAAATGAAATTGAATCTTCTTTTATTGTTGATACACCATCAACAGTTTTATCAATACCATGAATATTTCCAAATGTTACTTTAGCTGTAAGAACATGATAAAGTGGAATCTCTAAAAACAAATATACTAAAAATTTAAAAAAAAAAAGTAATTTATTTATTTATTTTACTTACGTATTTTAACAGGAAATCCATTTGGTATTTGAAGTGTAACAAAATCACGTAGTTTTTTAAAATGTGAATTACTAAAATTAAAAAAAAACAAAACAAAAATGAAATCATATTCCAAGTGAAATATGATTATTTACCTAATTGCCATTAAATCAATAATAGGTAATATTTGTTCTTGAAGACTAAGTGGATATTCATCACAAAGAGATATTTGAGCATTAAACGTTTGAATTTTAACATTCTCTTCACGTGGTCGACCAATATCTCGATTTTTAAGATCAACTCGACTATTAAAATATTCTTCAAGTGATACTGGTGATGGACTGGAAGATTTTGATGAATCCTTTCAAGAAAAAAAAATCATAATAATTTACATAATTCTAAATAGTATTCATATACATTGGGTGATTTCGATGTTGATGCATTTGCTGTTGTTGTTGCTTTTGATGATGATGCTGATGATTCAAGAAAATTAAAAACTCCACCAAGAAAATTTCTATTTGATGCATGCCCAGCTTCGTAAGCTTTTCGATCATCTTGTGACATATGTTCAATACGAGTACGTGTCACAAGTTCAAATTTATTAGCAGTATAAACTTTACATTGATAACCATTAATATTTTCTGTTTTTTCATTACGCATTCCCCATACACCTGATTTACTTCTATAATAAATTTTAAATAATATTCATTCTTTCTTTTTATCCTTAAATTTTCATTTTACCGTTCAAATTCAATTTTATCTACATCAAGATAGACTAAAAAGAAAAATCACAGATATAGAATCCAAATAAATCCAAACAAAAAAAAAGAACTAATAGACACACACCAGTTATATTTGGTGACATAAGTTTACTATCAATTTGATCCATATTTGGCTCAAGAAGAATTGCTTCTTCACCAGGTATACTTAAATTTTCACTATAAGCTGATTTTGTCTCATGATCAATATCAATCATTTTTGCACAATCAGCTAAAGATAAAATTTATAAATATTGTCCTAGAGAGATATCAAATAAATAAAATATCTTACCTAATAATGAAAAAATAAATGTTCGATTGCCTCGTTGCCAATTTGTACCTTCAATACCGAGTAATGTCGTATCAACACGAACATTTGGACCTTTTATTTATAAAATTAATTTTTATCTCTATTCTAATCTATTTTACATACCACTTTTATAAATTTTATAAGTATCATTTGGACAAAGTTTTGACACTAGAGGAACTAAATAACAAAAATATAAGTATTGTATCATTTTTCTTTAATTACTATTTTTTTACCCCAACTAGAAAATTCCCATTTCATTTCAACATAAAAATCTAAAATAAATTTTTAAATCTTGACTAAATAACAATTAATAAATGAATTCCATTTTCAAATACCTGGCGACTAAAAAAAAAAAATAGTTACACATAGAACTTAATTATTTACAAAAGAAAAAAAAAACAAGAATAATTTTTGTTTTTTTTCTACCTCTTTCAATTTTCGTAATAATTCTGGAATACCACGAATACGTTGAACATTTCTTTGATAATTTCGATATTTCATAATAAGTTTAACTAAAGAAGGATTACCATTTGCTACAGCTTCTTGTAATACTAAATAAATTCATAACTATAGACAATTATCAAAAAAAAAAATATAAAAGAAAAAAAAAGCTTACAATTCCATCCATCTTTTGAAACAGCATTACAATCAGCATCATTCTGTGCTAATAATCGAGTTGCTTCGACACGACCCAAACATACAGCTAATTGTATTGGAGTTCGATGACGCGGATCAAGTTGTTCAATTCGATCCTAAAAATAAAATATTTGTTCTATAATAAACAAATTTAAAATCAAGAGCATTGCATGATTTTACAGATTATTTAAACATTCATTTTTCTCATATGTTATAAATATAAATTCTCTTGAGTATTTTTTGAGTGTTCATTGTTTTACACAATGAACACCCTAGTGAATACGGCTCAATAACAAATAAATCAACCGGACATTTTTTTCGAACAAAAAAAAACCAAACGAAACAAAAACTATTCAATAATTAAAATTTCCCTTTCCTATATCACATTAACAATGAACAACTTACTTTATTGTGTTTTATTAATTCGGCTAATTTGTCTGTTTCATTATTCCAAATGGCCACATGTAAAGGAAATTCCCGTTCAATATTCATATCTAAAAGTCATACTACAGTTTTTATTTTCTTTTTATTATTTTAGAAAAAAAATGAAGGAAAAACAACTATTTTCCAATATGTAGCAAAAAAATTTATGTGTAAAAAAAATGCACAGAAAAAAATGGAATGTATACACACTCAAATAATTCATATGAGCAAAAGATCAAAAAAAAATCTCTATATAGCGTCAAAGAAAAGAAGATCAAGAAAAAAAAATCAAGAACACAAAAAGAAATACTCTTGCACAAAGTTTCATCAAATACGGATGTATTGAGATTCACTCCGTAATAAAAAGCAAATGGAATGAATTAATATACATAAATGAGTATTAGAATGTGAGACATCAATAAATGGTATCTAAATAATAATTATATATAATTCTAATAATAAACATAAAATAAATATTATCATAATTGTTGATTGAATTAATAATCTTGCATGACTATAATATGGACAATATGGACATTGATATGAACCGCAAACCTAATGAATCAAAAAAATTCTTTCAATCAAAAACCAAACAAAAAAACAAAAAATAGATTTACTTCACATATATCTAATGCAAATAAATTTCTTAATGTATAAACACTTCGATTCATATTTCCAGGTTCAAACCATTCATAAGCTCGTACTTCATAATAACGTGATATATTCGCAACAGGTATCCAACGTTTAGCTTGGAATTCAAAACATATTGGATCAAAATCAACATAATCAAAACCAAAATTAATTTGTCCAGGCCAATTTTCTGCTTCACGTAAATTACGTACATGAAAACTACGTAGCATAACTTTTAAATCTCTTTCTTCAACACGATAACCTGTTGGAATTTGTATTTCAATCATAACGGAACCACTACGTGATGCTTTAAGTACATCAACATTTTGTGGACGCCAACCAAGACAAACATTATAATCAATTACTGAAAAGTTACGACCAGATAACATTGGTTGAACATCAATCGAAAATGGAATCCATTGTGGACGACGAACAGATGGCTCAAATTCAACATTAACACCAACATGCATCTAAATAGAGAATTAGAAAACAGCATAAAATTATTGCCAAATAACAAAAAAAGAAAAGCTTTTAGCGCCATTCCTGAGAGATTAAAATATAAAACACGATGTAGCTGTTGGCGCTAATCACAGAGAAATTATTTTACTCGATCTACTTTGGGACATATTACTTCATGATCCTTTGATATAATCTTTCAGAAATTCAATAAGGAAGTAGTTCATATATTAGAACGAGACTTTATTGAAATATGGCATATGATCGTAAGATGGTCGAAAAAAAGTTCAATTTTTTTTTTCAATTATGTTAAGCAATTAACTCAAATCGAGAT